AACTAGAAGTGTTACGCTGGGAATCAAACTTATTAAAGCCATCTGCATTAGTTACGCTATAATTACGCACTTACATGAAAAATACTACTAAAACATTATTATTTTGTTATTCCATGTCATGTATGTACTAAGCCCAAGCCCATTTTATTTTATCGTCGTCTCCTAAACATAAGCTGTTCTCTCAAGGGGCTCCTACTTGATTCTTATTGGCAGTGAAATGAGCAGGGAAATAAACTTTTTCTGGGAAAATAACAATAAAAGGGAACAATACTATTGTTAGACGACTGTGAACCTAACAAAAACTTTTATAACTTGAATAACAGGTACCTACCTAGTATCGAACTTAAAAAGCCACTCAAAAGTTGTATTGAAATATAATAAACGATAACAGTTAATAACAGGCGTTATTGAAACATTAATTGTATTTTGATCAGATTAATAACTGAATGAGCAGTTACTTTGTATCTGTAGGTAGGTAAATTATTTTTTACCATTTCATAACATGTAACTTACCAATTCTACAATATATTATACTAGCGGCCCGTCCCGGCTTCGCTCGGGTGGCCATTTATTTTTTAAACATTTTTTGTAGATATTGATATGTTCTTTAATATTGTGGAAAATTTTTTGTCCTATCATCAATAGTTTTCGCAGCGCATACGATGAAAAATATATTATAGGCATTTTTTTACACCTGGGTACCATTATTGTAGTTTTAGATGAGATCCTTAATTTTTTCTTGCAATTAAAATAGGCTTTATTAATCAGTGATAATGTAGCATTCAAATGGTAAAAGAATTTTTTAAATCGGTCCATTACTATTTGAGCCAATTCGTTACAAACACGGTATGTAAGTAATACAAATCTTTCGTCTTTATAATATTATAGTATATACGTAGATAACACCCTATTTATATACCTTAACAAACTAGTAATTTTGTTCGTGTTGTCTTAATAAATTTGTAAACAAGATGCAACGAGGTAGACTAATTTAAAATTGCGTTAAATATGATCGGAAATTGTCTGCACCAAAAACGGAAACAAAGGGATTTCAAGAGGAAAAACGCTAATTGAATTTTCTCATCCAATCGAGAGAATTAAAACTCATGAAGCCTTGTTTCTGTCGCGGACAGCTGCTTTGTAGGAAAATTCTTAATTCGCACCCTGCCTTCTCAGTGAGGCAATAATCTCCGGAAGGGCGCGGGACGGAATTAATTTCGGCTTTACAACGCTCTATTGGAAAACTGATATTGGTTGTTCCGAAATGATTGTTAGCTATCCGTAGCTCGTAGCGACGTAGGAATTGTTGATTGTTCGGATTAAACAATGGAAGTGTCTGCGAAACCACAACATTGCCGCAGTTTTGTAATTTCGAACATAGAAACTGATGTTCAAAAAAATAATCTGTTATTTTATTTATAAGTCCTAAAACAACATGTATGCTTATATATAGAACATACAAGAAAAAAAGAGTGTGTGTACTTATGTACACGCGTTATAAGTTATACTTCTTTGCCATATGAAAAATAAAACAAAACAAAAAAAAATTTTTTAGATAATAATGTAATAATTTTTAATTAACGATGTAAATAAATTATACATACCAACAATTAACCTCAAATCTATAAATGCACTCAAAACAGTTTATTCAAATCAGTTTTATCACTAATATTCAATATATATAGATATACTAATAATAAATTATTAGTAAATACTATCACCGTCGTATATGAAATTGATTTAATAAGAACACCAAAATAATATTTATTTATTCACATTGTTTAATTGTACTGTTACGAAACACATGTTCTAAATGGTAGGGGAGCCCACGATGCTAAATGGGGATTTACTCGAGCGTCGTAGAGACCTATTAGGATGCAAAGCTTAGATAATAAGAAGAAAAAAATGTTATATGATATATACCTTTTCATCGGTGGGGGGAGCGGCTATAGATTATTAAATATGTAAAAAAAAACTGTTGCATGGACATCCTCGAGCGCGTCAGATATTGATAGCATCAATGCCCTACGTATTTTTAATAATGTACGTATGTTAATCTGATCGTTTGCATGATGCGGGTGGTTGTATTTAAGGGTTGAAAATGAAAAAAAAATAAAAATTATCGAGCGCGTCAGATTTTCTAAGGGAGTGTTAAGTGCACCAAAAAAAAGCTCTCATTCAGTAATCTGACGATTTCGATGGGACGCAAACCCACGGCCATTTTCATAATTTGCAAAAAAAAATCGCAATTTTGAAATACTCAAGCGCGTCAGATTAAGATATATGTGGTTCATCTTTATGTTCTAAACGTACTGTCTCATAATCTGACGATTATCTAGAGGGATTCGCCTGAACTGACAGAAAAAATTTAGAAAAACGGTTCACCTAAAGGGCCATCCCTGCAACTTCCCGCTAATTCCATTCCTGGGCGCTTAAAATTGATATTTTGAGCTCGCTGAGTTCAAAGAAATAATATTTCTATGCATTTGAGCTCTCCCAGCTCGAAAGTCTGATAGAAGTTTCATAGAACACTATTTTTGGAATTTTCAAACCGCAATAACTTTTGAATGGATCAAGCAATTTTCACGCGGTTGGCGGCATTCGACGCAGTTTTATCATCCTCATAAGTAATTTTGCAATTTTAATTGATCGAACTATAAATTTCGGAGTAATCCCGAAAAACACTTTTTCGGGTTTCTTTCGTTCACGATATCTCTCGAACGAGTTGATCGATAAAGAAACCACTTTAAAAAAAAAAAATTTCTTATTTTTTTAAGATTTTTCAAAATTTCTCAAAATCTATCGGTCCGAATCGGTTCAAATTCACAGGAAATGTAATTTTGAGGGAAATATTTAGAACGCCGTTTAGTAGATTCCGATCGGTTTAAGGAAATGTAGGCATCACGCAGCTGCACGCATTTAACTTTATCGACGAATTTTTGTTATTTCGGCTTGCGGAAATCGTCAGATTATATATTTTTCATTATTCTTGAATTATTTCCTTCAAAATAAAAAAAAATTAGCTACGCTCGAGAATGTCGAGATGACGTTTTTTTTTACAACTTTGTTGCCCTCCCCTTTTTTTACGTCACTTTCAAATTGTCAGATTAGTGGAATATACACTTTTTAGGAAGAAATTAACTCACCCTACCTTAATCTGACGCGCTCGGGAATTTCTGATGGTCAATTTTTTTTTACTAATCTGATCCTGTCTCCTTTACGGGCGGCCTTATATATGGGCCTCATATTTTGTGGAGGTACTTAACCGGGTACAAGGTATCCCCTATATATTAATCTGCCGCGCTTTAGTAAATCCCGAAATCCCCTCTTGGGCTCCCCTACCAAAATATAAAAATACTAGAATATACAACTTGAACATAGTTATTTTCGTTTTTATGCCACCTAGAACTAACTTTACGATGTAGAATTTAGGTGTCTGTGTGCGCGCGCATCGTAAAAAAATTCACTCCCATCATTTTTCTCCATCGCGCCAAAATAATTATAACTTCAAAATATGACGACAAATTTTATACCCATACACATCAATTAGAATAAACATTTTAAACTAGCAAAGAAAACAAAACACAAGCAAACAGCAAAAACTAATACTACATAGACACTTAAACCTTATTAAGAGCGTAATTAATACACAACATTACGGTATCCTACTTATCTGCACTGTTTGAAAATTTATGTTAAATATATCAATATTTTAATAAATGTTAGTAATTAAATTGTAAGAGCGAGACAGCCTATTCACTGGAATTAAAAGTAGTAGATGTTATAATCTTCTTCCTATAGTGCCATCTCCTTGCGAAGGTTGGCGATCATCATGGCTAGTTTAAATCTGGATGCCGCGCTTCTAAACAATAACTTGGTGATTTAACCAAACCATATGTTGTAATATGTATCGTAAAATATGTGTAAATTCAGTAGGATGCTGACGAATAAATGACGAAAGCGTTTCCAAAAGTCTTAGATTAGCTAGTTATTAGATGTATAGTATAGCCTTATTAGGTCTTTGGTAATGGCTTAACCATTAATGACTCTCAGAGTCATAAGAGCTAACGGTTGGTACGGCTTTTATTAATACTACGCTAATTTCCACTAAATGAGCCGTTATTTCAAAATCTTAAATTGCTTCATACTTCAAAATCGTATTGAATTTTTTTTTATGAGCGCGTAAGCTTGAGTTTCATCGCAAATTTATTGGGCCGATAACAAAAAAAACAGCTCTCTCATCTGAGAAGAACAGCCAATTCTCACTGGGATTAATATATATTTGTATGATGGTTAAGGAATATTATTACAAGTTAATAATTTTATTATCATATTTGGCTCTTTGTCCTTACTCAAATGTACCATAACAAAAGTGAATTATGCATACTATATTATACCTCTGCTGGCAGATGTCCAGTACTGCACCAATATTGGAAGCCGGTAATTTATTGCACAATTATTGTTGCTCATTTATCAATCAAGAGCGCAGAGCTGCTTGCTAATGACTTTAATATGACTGTGTATTCAATTAGCAAATTTTTATTTTCTCTATGTAGTATAAATATGGTCCAAGATACAAAGCATATAACATATAAGGTAATCGATCACATTTATATATCTACAAATTAGACTACGTAAATTATTGTTACAAGGTAGTTTTTTAATTATTATAAAGAACATTTATGGTAAAGCTATGATGGAATTAACGCAAATAAAATATATTACATATAAGTTATGTACAAATAAGAACCGGGTTATATTTCTAACAAAAATAGTAAAAAGACCTGAAAAGTATTATTGAACTGGATAAAATATATGTACTTTTCAATTTTAAATATAAAAAAATTTCTCTGCTATTTCAAGAAATATATAAATTTATTATAGTGACACATAAATTACTCCGAATCACTATACAATTTTTAGAATTTCAATGCAACGCAACTTCTTTCCAATGCATTGTGCCAAAGCAAGCGTATACATCTTATAAAAGAAAAAATCACCTGAATCAGAAGCCATAGACGCTAGAACAGAACCGTCCTTGTACCATCGAGTGACGCTGACGTAGTTCCTGACAGGTCGCGGTGTAATGCAAGTCAAAAGTGCAGCGCCGCCAGCCACTCCAGGACTCGCCTGCACTTGTACTTCCCACGGTACGTCCATCACTATAAGAATAAACTGTGGTATTAGTTGCTACAACAGTAAAAAATAATCTTCGTACAACAATAAAAATGATTATGATGAACTGAAATTTAAAATATTGCAAATAATCTGGTTAAAAATAAATAATAAGTTTATTACAATAATTAAACTAATCTTATAAACTAGAATTGAATCTAATAAATATACATTTTTAATATAACGTAAGAATGGCGTAGACGTATCTTAAAGTGAGGTTGTAACATGCTTGATATTATAGAAATTGCTATCTAACGTATTCCTAAATTAGAAATTCCTTACACGTCTCAATTTCAAATATTATTAGATAACTCATGTAATTTTATATGTATGTTAGTATGTTGTGATATTTTGACAACGTTTAGGAAATAATAAAAACAAATTTAATTAATAATAATTTTTGAATATAATATATAATGTAGAAAATTAAAAACGATTTACGTATTTTTCCAATTTTCTTAGACCTCATTACAAATCCATTTAAATTAGTTTAATCTCTCAGAATTATAATTCAGGTAACGTGAATTATTTTTAAACTTAATAATTATATTATTAAATATATTAATAATAAGAAGAAGAGGCCGACCACGCAAGAGATGGGAGGACGAACTGAAACTAACAGCAGAACTGGAGAAGAGTCGCAAAAGATAGAGAACAGTGGAAAGGGTGAGGCCTTTGCCAAGAGGCACAACTCCGAGATATACTGGAGTGAAAATATATTAAAGTTCATATATATAAAATCACAGAGTTCGGAATTTAAAGGCTATATTATTATTGAATGTATTGAATAATTTTTATTTGTTTGATTTTGTAAATTTTTGAACCTTTTTGTAGTAAAATGGGGTCTGTATTCCATCTCTGGCTATATTTTCACTATAATTTTTTGTTATTATATATAATTTATGTTAACTGTAGGATTACGAATTAAATAAATAAATATTATAGTTATATTATTGTTTATCCAACCAAAATACGAGATACTTAATACAAGTAACTTAACTATAGTAATTGAATAAGTTGGTGTCTGTCAACGAGACGATCCGCGCCTCTAATTACGGAACTTACCCGCCAGACTGAATTACTGCGGTCCTTCATCTAGCCTAACTCCGATGTCCTGTCACCCGATAATTCATTACTATCATGTTTCACAGGCGGTGACACATTTATTGATATAAACGAGAACTCCTTATTGTAGTTTTGTATAGCAATAATCAAACTATGGTTCTGATAGCCAATGTGAGCTATGTGGACTTATTATACACAATAATTATGATTTAAATCAAACATTATTACCGTCATAAATACAATATTAATTCGCTTTTGAAACGATAAGGGTTTGTTTAGTTATAATATATATAAAATATATATAGTATGATTAATTAAACCATAAGATTTTCTCTTATTTGTTGGCATCAGCCATTTAATTTTTTCTTTACTGTACACTTTGTAAAGGCTTTTGCTCAAATTAAATGAGGACTGTATTTTTCTTTTGAATCCCATTCTCTCCGTTGGTTCTCACTCATGAGGACCGTACCAACCAGTGTATTTTGAGCAACCCGAATTTGTGATCGTGAGAAGTCGAACGGTAGTCGTAGTAACACGTGTCAAATAATTACTTTAATATTGATTGTGTTTAAGTTTCAAGAGTTTTATAGTTTCAATAATAATAATGACTATGGACTTACTATTACTATCGATCATTGAAAATTTGTTAATTTATAGATCTAGCAACATTGGCAAATTAAATAATCCACTAGAGTATTATTGGATTTAAATGTTCTGACTTGGACATTGTTTATTTATAAGCTCTGTGACATGTGACGACAATAGCAGCTGACAGTAACGCCATGCTCTGACATTAATATTTTAAGTTAGCTGTAGGAGTATGAAATTTATAAATATTCCTTTAGTTGCGCTATTAACAAGATTTGATTTTAGTTTAAACATTGGTTATTTATAAATTTGTGTTTTTTTAAGAAGAACAAATGATAAGTTCTAGAAGTATTTTTAATTTTGTTTCAACTCATAACTCACACTCATTGAATTTAGACAAAAACAAACTGTTTTACATTTCTTGGCTTTTTTTGGTTGTGTGTATTGTTAAGGAAGTTGTGGAACCAAATATTAGTGGTTAAAATTTGATATAGTATTCACTGGGAGTTAAATACGTAAGCTTTGAAATAGAAAATTAACAAATATAATAACATTAACATCAACTTTATATGCCTACAAACAATGAACTCGCAACTCATTGTAAATGCTTTAGCGTATCTGGAGTAAGTGTAAGTTTGTTTTCCAACTACTCGAAACGTTATCTCAAAAACAATATTTCGATAGTTGGATATGGATTTAGTTCAATGCTATTGTTAGTTTCAAATTAGCATTCATGTTACAAATGATCAGTACTACACTTATAGGCAGGGTATCAAAGTAAACCACTTTTAGTCATATCCAAATTTAAAGTGATCACTGTACGTCTATAGTAAAACATATAAAATTTCAAGTATTTTACTCATTATTTATTTACGCTATTTTTAATGCTAATAATAATTATTGTTATTTATTTGCAAGTATAGCTACAAAATTACAAAGATGGCGTACAAATTTGTCTTACATAACTATTGATTAGTAAAAAATTAAAATTACATAACCCATTACATTATTAGATTATTTAATAACTCGTCATGACATTATTCAAGCTATTTTCGGTTAGACAGTTTCTTCGCGATTTCTTCCCTTTCCGTACAAATCGCCTGAAATAGTCGAAACTTTACGTCTTAATTGTACAATGTTTGAAACACAAAGCAACAAAGTTACTTGATTCGGGTGGTTACAATAACGAGCCCTCGTCCCTGGGGACAGTGCGGTGATAATGAAACGTTGCGGTGTGGATATGAATAATAAACACGACGGCTGATTTCCCCCGCCACTCTTCCACTCTACTTTGACAGGATTAGCCCGCGGACCCGTGTAAGCCGATCAGACAAATTATACTACGAGGAAAGCTTTTACGTCTGATGTTAAACGTATTACTTTGTATCGATCACTCTAGTTTTTTAGTTATTTCTTCTCTTTGAATTTTCTGATAATTGAGCGATAGCTGAGTGCATCTCCCTTTCTAAGGGACAGCTAAACTGTACTTCAGTCCTTGTGGAATACTGATTTGTTTGTGCGTTTGTATTTATATAGCAACTTTAAATAGCTATTAAATGTCGTATTACAAGTCGTCTTCAAGTAAGAATGTTTTAATACAAAGAATCTTATAAAGATTTCCATGCATATTGAACTGTTCTTATACTCTTATAACTCCACTGGGGTCTTCAAAATATAGTCTAATAACACTAACATTAATAGTATAGGTATGTTAACTAAAGCTGGCGGCTTCAACACATTTACACTTTGTGCTTGTGTAGTGTCTGTGAATAAGCGCGAGACGTGATGTCAAACTGAAATACAATCATAAATACATCATGAATAGACTGTCCGTCGTGTATGAGTGGACTAAAATGTATAGCATGGCAAAAAAATCATATTTTGAAACATACTGTATGTGAAATTGCATTAGTGTGAGTACTGTGAACCCGCCAGCTTTCGATAACCGACCTATAGCAGCGTTCACTAAGACTAAGATTATTGCAAAATTGCACTAGGTCAGAAAGTTAAGTCCTGTTCAGACTTTAATAAAAACTACGAGACAACAGTGTACAAGTGTTGGCCAAATATTTGAGGTTAATTAATATCTATACTGCATGCAGGCGGTAAATCGTTACTTCTCCTGAACAGTGAGGCTAATGTCAAAATAAATACGTATATTCGATGAATTTTGTGTATTGATTAATGTATTGTATCTCCAAGTACATTATTGACTATGGTGTGAATTGCTGCCTGTTTTTGGTGAATGGACATGCATATAGAGGCATCTAATTATTGAATTTTATTTTAGCTACTATTTCCGTTAGGTATTGTTGGTATGACACTCGTTTGAGTATTCCCTAGTGGTTTATTTTTAAATATAATTGAAGTGAAACTTCTTCTTTAATACTTCTTTATATACCCATATAAGAGATACCTCAATATTATGAGGGTAATTTTTTTACGGATGAAACGCAATAATAATATCAGCGTCACGAAGATGTGCAGCGTTTTTGTCTAAAAAAGGGGAGAGAGCGATTGAGACCGATTGAGAGAGAGTGAGAAGGGCGAATTACCTTATAGAAATTCTATTTTTGAAATTAAAATTTCGTAAAGAGAATTTATGAAATATTAGTATATTATATTTAATACAAAATAATTTATCGAAATTTCAAATGACGAATCGTAAATTAAAATGGCACGTGTTTTTATTATCGAAGAAATAAATATAATTTATTATTTTAATATTAAATTGCGACACCTAATATTTTAATGACAATTACATTCATGAAATTTCTAACATATCTTCCTTTTTCCCTCACTCTAAGTCTCGAAAATCTAAAGTTTTAGATTTGTATAAATATGAACAAGATTTAAAAATTAGTTTGCCACAGAAGTTTCACTTCAGGCATGTGTACTTTGTACGCGCGTACTTTTTTATATTATATAATGGTTTACAGTAACTTTTTATCGAAAAGATATTAATAATAACAAAGCGTTTCATAAATGATTTTTCTTAATAAAACCTGCCGTACGTTATATATCGCTCTAGGCCCCAACCAGGGCCCTTACTCTGTAACTTCCATATATTAGCTTTTGTTCCGCGCGATCCCATTGTTAACGATAAAACAACATCTTAATACCTACACCGATAATTTTATAATTAAAAATACATCATACTTGCATACAGTACGAATTTGCACTAGCAAAGTATATATTCAAACAAAACTTAAAAGTATACTTTATATCATGTAACTATATCACATAAGATAGTACATTACAAGTCTGTATATATAATATTTACTAATCAAATATTTTAATGATACGTTTCAGACTTGGCCCCTTAAAATTTAAAATAATTAAAAACGTAGGTACCTTATTTGAAGTTAAAATATAACTCCTTTTTATACAGACAATAATTTCCGCATAATCCGCAGCAGCTGTGATTCAAGAAAATCTTTAAATTATATTATCAAGAACTTCTCAATTTCTAATTTCGCGCCAAATGATAGCGGCCGCCATCTTGAAATAATCACTTTATTTTGGAGCTCCGATTTCATTTTGTTTGTCGAATAAATCGTTTTGAATTAAAAACGTGTTTCCCGTTTAGGCGAATGGATTTATTGTTTGACACTGAGCGCGGATATTGAGAGAAATGTACAGATTGAAAACAATCTTCTTGTCGGATATTTTATGGCAACTTTTAATCCAAGCGCGGACGTGACTAAATGAACGCTTTTAAAATAAATGTTAAAATCCGTATAACGAATTTCTACTTTTTTACACATAAATTTTTACGAACACTGTTGGTCTCTAGTAAATTCTCAATCGAGATTTCGTATTCGAATCCAAGCTGTCCACAAATGTATTTTTATGGTGCAATTGGCTCTTGGGCTTCCTACAGGGATGGAAAATCTCATGGGGAAACCAGCATATCTTACAAAAAAGTGTACGACGCACTTCAGAGCAAATTGAAACAGTCCCAGAAATAAGTCTACTCCCATTGCAAAATTAAGTATCGTTTTGTTGGTACGCCCTTTTGAAGGACCCTGTGTCAAACTGGTTCGGATTTACTTCTGCGAATAGATTATACTAAAATATGCATGCTAAATATATAAGATCAATCAAATGTCACCGTTCTTGCAGGTATGCAAAATGCAAATGAGCACGGCAGGCACTTGACATGAGCGCGCGTCAACTCTCTGCAGTCACTTGTCAATTTCGCCTTTGTGTTAGCGTCATCGGACGCAGGCTGCCCTAAGCTACCATACCTATATATTTATTATCTATGGCTGTTATTAAAACTCTTGTAATCTATGGATAATATTGTTCTTATGAAAATTTCGTTTCGTAAATCTAATTTATATACCTGAACGTATAAATAAATCCTGTGTCACTAGTTGACACATATAAAAATACTGTTTATACTACAAACATATTGCAATTTACGCAGGCTTACAGTTGAGCCAATACATCTTAACTAATCTTGTATAATTAATTTAATTGGCAATATACGGGAATGCTATGTAGCGTCTGGATTAAGGTAACTATATGTATGAGATTCTTATAAGAACTGAATGATTTAAATACAAAATTTGACACAAAAAGTGTGTAAGTAACATAATAATAATTAGTAATGAGACATACAAGTGAGCCTATATATTGTTTATATGCAACACTGCCGTAAGATTTATGGCGTCGCAGGTATCCATGAACGGCAGTAAGTACCTACATAATTTTTAGTGATTTGTTCGTTCTTGATTAACCACTGGCCCTCACTTAATTAACATTATCAGGTGGTATATTTATTTTTAAACTCAAACTAAATATTTTAGATATATTACGATCGCATTTACTATTTCCGAAGTCATGGTTGTACTCCTAAATAAACGTGTAATTGACATTCTGTTTTTGGCATAAGGGTGCATTGTGTTAAAAGGCTCCGAGTGTCATCGAGATATCATAAGCGCTGGATTAAAAACAAAAGCCTGCATTTATGAGCACATAGAGCGATGTGGGTACTTAGTAAGTACCCACAAGGTTTTTACGTTAAACAATATAATAATTCGTAATTCGCAAATGAATAATAAAATGTAAACACGTTATTTTTTGTTTCTCTATATGTAAACGCTAATTAAATCTCATATAAATGTACAGGTTTTTAGTAGAATATATGCATCCGTAATTCACGGTGTTATCCTCCCTTTAATATCATATTAGACCTATGAATTTTATCGTAATCTGTGCAAATTGTATAATCTATGCTAAGCTTATCTATTTCAATTCTAAAATTCAAGTCTAATTTAAAGTTGACTATGTTCATTTCTGATTTAACTATGTTTATCATTGATATCGTTTAGAGGTGCGTTGCCGGCTTATAAACTCGAAGTGATAGTTTTTTGTATAAGTGAGTAAAAATATGGATGTTTTTAATAAAATAAGAAGTTAAACGAAAACAATAGTAGGTATACATATGCAGTATGTTATAAATTCTGCAATAGTACTAACAATGCGTAAAAACGAATAGTTAACGAAAGCGGAGCTTTACAGCTTAAGAAGCGCTTTATTTGTGTATTTTTATGCAGCACAAATATGCAAGGACACGAATATGTGTAGATACCTCATCGAATGTAAGTCAAGCTGTCAAAAATTATCGCATTGACATGACGAAACTATGGTAAAGTAAGCACTTTGACCTCTATAGTGTTATTTTATTCAAGTATATTAACAATTTGAATATTAAGGCAATATCAGCCATAAGACCTAATTGTGTTTATAGTGCTGCTGTTACTAAGGGTATTACGGAATTAAGCGTCGTTGTTGACGCTGTAATTACTGCCGTTGTGTGTCGTTCTATCAACTAGTCATATAAATACGTAACATTTTTGACAAAGCTCTTTTATCCATATAAGAATGTATTTCATTTTTGTGATACGTTTGTGAGTTACAAATCAAAACGATTTGTGCTTTATCCGGAATCAAACCCATGACGTTCGAGTTACGAAGCTATGCTAAAGTAAAGTTTATACGTTCAAAAAATTAACGATAAAACGCAACAAAACTATATTGATATATTTTATTTCAAGTGGATTTATATTTTTTTAAGTTTTAAAAACGGGAAAAACTATGATTGTATCAAACAATATAGCAGAATAATTTTGGACCTCTTCGAATCTATTCTCATAAACTCATGCAAATCATTCTGACTTTGCCTCAAAGTCAAGTTGGATGAAAACCTTCGAGAAATGAAGTATTCAACCCGATCACATCATCTGCAAACCCCTTTTTGATAACCTACAATTGACACGGCAAAACCGCACTTATAACCATATACATACAGGCCAAAGTATTGTGTACATGACACTTGACCGCTGTTGACGTCTCGGGCGTGAATCGTTAGGTCGGAATGCAAATAGGAATCTTTATGGAGGAGGCTTTGGCTTGCTCTGGGCCGTAAACCTTTGATTGAGCCTTCGATATCGCCTTTGTGACTGGCGCTAATGGAATCGACGTTCGAACTACGCATACACAAGGGATTCGAAACTTTCTAATATTATTTTAGTACTTGGGATAAATTTTCCTTCGGCAATCTTTTTTATTGTAGAAATGTTGTTTAAACTTGAATATGAATAGAATATGTGTGTATTGAAATTTATTAGGCGTCAGTGTGTAACATTTAGGCCTTAAATATAAAACTGTTGTTTAATTAACAGTATGGGTGGTAGTCTGTAAATAAATACAGTTTATGATTGGTCTTACGTATTTGCAGATATAAAAGCACTATGTTTTATAACGAGTTCATCATCTTTTTTTTTCGTTACCACACGGGGTTGGAATCCAAGACCGTCAATATCATGAAAAAGGTTACCACTAAAATAATTAGGCAATTGACCAAATATTACAGTGGTGTTTTTAAGTCCTGTACAATCTAAAAGCTGTTCAAATTAAACTTTCTATAAGCTCTATATTATAGATTTGTTACTCTTCTATAAATCGTAGTTGGTAGTACTGACCTGCCTCTACTCTCATATCGCGAGAGAGCACAGTCCCAGAAGTACCAGATGCTCGACACCGATAAACTCCTGCATGGACGTCGCTTCGGTATTGCGCCGGCGAAAATGCTCCTAGCCATAGTGTACCGTTTGACAATGCTTGCCTGAAACAAATAATAACGAACATGTAGTGAAAAGTTTCTCTATAACTTAAATATAAGCGTAATAACGTTAATATTATTAAAAGTAATAATGGTTTTTTTGTAGGCTCGATCCCCGGCTGTGCACCAGTGGACTTTCTTTCTATGTGCGCATTTAATAGTTCCTCGAACGGTGAAGGAAAACATCGTGAGGAAACCGACTTAGACCCAAAGAGTCGATGGCGTGTGTGACTGGAGGCTCATCACTTACTTGTCTATTAGATTTAAAAATGATCATGAAACAGATTCAGAAATCTGAGGCCAAGATCTAGAGGTTGTAGCGCCACTGATTTTTTTTTAAATTCAATTGCAAACTCAACAGTAAAAAGCCTTCTAAGACTTGTCATCATTGTTATTATATTTGCAATTTTAATAGTCAAGTAGTCGTTTAGGTATACAACATTGGATTTCGCGCTAGCAATTATTTTACACATAATTAGGAAAATCCATATCGGAGCAAAACGGAGTTCATATGTATGGACTGAGATAGGGAATGAGAAACGAATACTACTATGATGCCATATTACAAAGTTTGACAATTAATGATAATACCTTAAGCACTACTTGATGTTCTTTGTTTTGCTAAACAAAATAATCCTAAAAAATCAAATAGAAAACTCTGCAATCAGGCTGTATAAAAATGTATTATTTTTCTCTAAAGTTAATGATTCCAAATTTATTCATTTTTCCGCGTAAAGGACACTTCAAAGATATCTGAAATCATATCAAAATGAAAAATGAAGGGACCTCCGATTGAAGTCACGATATCAAAGCTTTTTATAATTAATCAAAGTCACCCGGACATCGCATTCATTCTGAATAACATCTCGTTATAATGATTCAAAATTAATTTCAAATATTTTATAAAGGATTGCTATCAGCTTAATATAACTTGTAACATTTCTGAATCGTACAATTTATAGAGGAGACAGAGCGGAAGTGTGAGAGAATTATGTTATTATTTTGGTGAAATCAAGAGATTTTAAACTGCGAGTAATATTATCTTTGGTTTACTTCTTACCTTCTTCTATTGAAAAACTTCTTTCACGGATATAAACGCGACTGATATGGCAACTGCTAAAGTATACGAAACAATAATAATTTCGGGTTTATTACGTACATTATGAATGGTTAATATATTTTTGTGGGCTTTGTTTTTTTTCTTATATTTTAGTTACTCATACTTTTGTCAAAAACATCTTATCTGTGAACGAAGGACGCTTCTACTTATAGATAAATAACTTGTATATAAATATATATATACAATAATAAAGATAAATAAATAAACGTAAAAATATTACATTTTGCTTATCTCGTCCACATAATATTATACCTTATATATTATACATGTGTTGATTTCCCTATTACCGGCTTCTCTTCCGATATTCGGAAAATAATCTAATTTTTAAGAAAAAAATAAAGGATTAAATGACATAAATGCGTAATTAAAGGCAAGCGCTCACACGTTAATTAAGCCGGGGTAAATATAAGGTGGTGTCGGCGCTAATTGCAACTTGTCTTGTGTGAGCCATGTCTCTTCAAGTGCCTGTTAAAAGTCGGTGTGTTTGACAACACTTTTTGTATCAACTCGTGTTGTTTTTATTTACTTTGTACAAAAGGCTCTTTATTAAACACAAAATAACAAGAATCAAAAACAAAGCGCACTTGCGATTGAAAAGATGGTTTCAAAAGTGAAAAATATTCAAATATAGAACATAATGTTATAATAAATGCACTAAGTACATATTGCAACACCATCAGGTAAAATCCGCTAATTAGTAGTTTTCGATAGGATATGTACAGGTCACAAAGAAAAAAAGAGCCGTGCTTCAAGTATGTTGAATCATGCAATAAATTAGAGAAATTTCCCTCGTTTTTTCCAGATTCCCAACATCACACCCTGCACTTATGGTCTTCCCTTTCAAACAAAATTTTAATCCATCTTTGAGGTAGCGGTATTTATCAAAATTAAACTTTCATTTGTTGAAATCGGTTTAAAACTCAGATTATGTCTACTATTAACAAGAGAACGGTTAGCTATTTAAAACAAAATTTAATATTCATAATGAACAACTCAAACAAATTCAATATTAATCCTTGCCTTGTCCCGAACAATAGTGAAATCGATATGCATATAGCTATTGTTTCATTGTTTATTTTACGGCCTACAGCTCTGTTTGCGCTGCCGAGGCAAACATGTTCGTATAATCACGCAAATGGTTATACGCATTAACAGTTCCCGTCTATAATCACCCTTAGCGTGGTATTGGACAAGGGGTCAAAACTGGGCATAGGCAAACTTCAAAACGAGCGTTGTTAGTAAAAGCCAAAACGCTTTGACGGGAATGTAGCTTGAACTGGCAATATGTTAAAGTCAAACCTCTTTGTGTCATATAGTGAATATAAATTTGGTACAATATACAAACTACCTTGACTTAAAGCGCAACTTTTCCAGCGCATTTATATTAGTTTTGGTTCTTGGTGTCTTAATAACACGAAATTTGTACGAAAATACATGAAAATCTTTTGCGATGTTTATACACAATATATCATGTTGTTATTATTCTTACTTTCGCTATATTAAGATGCCCAAAAAGTTTTCTTGAATCATATGGAATACAGGAATCTATTCAATATATTAAAAAAGTTACAAAAAGGTCGTTTCCCTTACGTAACGAAACTTTCAAAGTCACACACTTGGAATTTCTAGGAAAGCTCAAATTGAATTAGGGAATGCTGCAAAGGCCGCACCTGTTGGCAGAGTTGGAAACAATTTCGCCGAATCGAGTCACGGTCATAAAAAGATGTAAGCGGACCCTTGTCCTGCCGCAATTTCCTCTAGCCTCTGGGGACACAGGAAATAGTCTAAACCGCCTTTACGCACCTCTTAAACGAAACAGGAATTTTTGCCGCGAGCTTCGGGTTAATGGAGAAAGATAATGAGGTTACCGGAGTTTGAAGATTTTCTATTTACAAAACGAAAAAGGTATAAAGGCTAATTTTTGTAAATATTAACGTGGGCTCCTTTTACGAAATGGTGTGGTCACTTGAAGTTTCATCCTTATTTTACCACAAATGTTATGGATTATTGATAACTTAGGAAAAGTTATATTGTTCTTTAATATCCCATCGAAATAATTGTGTATGAAACTTATTTTAATTTTTATTATTAACAAAAAATCAAAAACATGTTTATTTAATAGAAGGCTGACACGTCCACTAGTTAACACCGATACAAATTTAAACAATGTAAAAATAAATTATCTTCTGATCGGCTACCTAAAGTTACATAAATAAAGAAAGTTATATACTGGTGCTCATGTAGCTGAACAAAATATTGACGCGATCAGCGAGCAAGATGAAGATAGTCCACGGTTTCTGTTGTTCAAACTGTTTGCTCAGTTTTACAAACAAAAATGCGACAGGCGTGACCCGCTACTGTCATTTAAAGTCAAAATATCACCTATTCATGTAGGAATTGTGTATGTCAACGAAAAATAATTGACACTAAATTTAGATTTCCAGCCAGATCTCAAATCAGTAAACAGGGCATAGAATGGCCCCTTTTTAATGGAAGGAAATTTTATTGTAAGCAAGATGTAAAGAGATGGAATTATTTATTACTTCTTCAATGACACATGTAACAATCAAGTCAATATTAGAATTACTACTCATCATATGCTGTGTTATGTAAAATGTGAACTAAAATTAGTACAGTATTAGTTTAAACCGTAACTATAGTTTTTGTATGGAAATAGCATTGTTACCATGGTGCACTAAAACCTACTTAACTTGGGGATATACATTTCGAGGCGCAACTGCTTAGTGCGGGAGGGTTATGTGGGACTCGCTATTGTGCATACCCACCAAAACCCCAAGGTGTCATCAACGATCGACGGTATACGATGGTTTCCGCCTGTCCTGTCTAGAAGGAGTGCGGTAACAGTGGAGCCTTGTCCGCGCTCTGCCACGTGATCCGTTCAACGTTGGTTTTCGCGGGTATTAATGTGATGAGCTTTGATACAGCTTGATAAATCCGCCTTCATATATTGAACTGGGCGAGCTCCAGTGATTTGACAGATTCATCAGCATCTCTTCGTAACCTTGGTACCATCACTAACTTTAATTCACGCTCTATGCTGTGTGTGTGTGTACTTTATATAACGTATCATTGGTAATATAATAAATTCATAAATGCCAAATTATATAAAGTATAAAAAAGATACGGGATGTAATGAAAAATTATTACTTATATAAAATCAATAAAAATATATTATTTACTATTCGATTATACCTAACGATTTTAGTTAATTTTGTAGAACTTTCCGTGTACTTTTATGTACCTACTCGACTAGCCCAACTCAACAAGCAATTAACTACAACTTAGTAGGATCAAGTTTGCTAACTTCTCTGAGTATATCAGTGGTGTGTATCTTAGTTTATCTGATCACATATACAAATTTAAATTCATAAATTGCAAGGAAGTGCTTTCATATTTAAAATTTACGTTCATCAATAAATTAGTTGAACGCACAGGCGTCTTAATTGGTTTACCATCCGAAAAAAAGATCCAACATCTAAAAAAATTGTATATTATATTGTATTCAAGTAAAGACGTTGGGTTTAAACGCCTTCTTTTATAGAATCTAGGCAACCATAGAAACCTAGAATTCATTTTACAGATAAACACTCAATTTTAAGCATTAAAATCCAGTGGCGCTACAACCTTTTAGGCCTGGGCCTCCGATTTATGTATCTGTTTCGATCAATTGGTTTTAATAGGTAAGATACCTTCTGTGCCTAACACATGCTGTTGAATTTTTGGGTCTAAGGCATGCCTGCTTCCACACGATGTTTTTGGGGCACAGTCGGGAATCGAACCTACAATCTCAGGGTCGAGAGTCGCACGCTGAAGCCACTAGGCCAACACTGCTGTTTCTTTAACAGTTACACTATCATATAGTTGTTAAAGGTTTTTAAAGTTGTAATGAAAAAAGTGGCTCAGGAATAATAACACCACTCATCGGTTAAGGCGGTTGAAAAGTTTTACTCTATAATGAACTAATAGTTTTTCATTGAATTCAGAAGTTTTAGTGCTAATGGAGTAAGTTTAAAGCTATCGGCCTAAACCCTTGTAAACAGAACTTTTGGGTTTATAGACGCGATGTTGGTAATTCATTCATAATTCTATAAAGCAAAGTTACTTAAACACCCATAAATATTTGTGCAAATAACATTTGTACACTGAGAAAACCGCTATGTAACCAGGATATTTTTGACTTACCGGAGTCATATTTAGCAAAGTCATAGTCTCAGAGCAGTGTTGGCTTAGTGGGTTTAGCGTGCGATTCTCATCCCGGTCGTAGGTTCAATCCCTGCACCAATTAACTTTCATTCTATGTGCTCACTCGTATGGTGAAGGAAAACATCGTGAGGAATCCGGCTTGCCTTAGACCAAAAAAAAAAGTCGACGGTGTGTGTCAGGCACAGGAGGCTAATCGTCTATTAGATTGACAAATGATAATGAAACAGCTGATATAGAAATCTGAGGCTAAAAAGGCTGTAGCGCCACTGATTTATTTTTATCATAGTAAGTCTCGACTCTAAATTTTACCATAAGAAGTTAAGATAATTATTTTGCTCTTCAATGTTACATATTAAAATAAATTCAGTAACACTAATATGGGCATTTATAATTCCATATTTAGAAATCATTTGGTATTAACCGGTTCCTACAGTCGTACCTAACAGTTAAGGATTGTAAAATAATTATCAAACTTACGATTTTTTAATATACGTAATTAATTTTGTTTTAAAGTATTATAATGTTATTGTAATTAACATCGAAGGTGTATGGATGACGGAGAAATTTAGACCATTTTGTGTTCCACCGTCAATGAATAAATAAAATAATAAATCATGTCTAATTTAATGATTATTTTACCTTACCCTCCCTCTTTTACCGTCTTTCTTTTTTATTTTTAAAGTGATTTACGAACTTATAACTTTGCCCTTATATTCATATGAAAGGTTACTTGGGTTATATAGGAAAATTGCCTGAAAGAAATCCCATTTAGCGTTCGTTATGAGAGGTAGGAACGAATGTCCATCGTACCGTAAAGCCGGGTGTCCATTAGGGGCAGGGCACCAGCGTTATTACAGTAACGAAGACAAACTGCGTCTGTCATGACGTCACTATGAGCTACGAGTATCCAGGCCCCGAATAGAGGATGACGCGGAAATTTCGAACTTGTGTAACTTCGTGGATAAGATCTCCAAATGAAAACCAAAGGTTGTATTCCTATAATAATAAATTAATTGTTTTAAATATATCTTCCTTTAAATCTCTACTGTACAAACATTACCTGTCCACATCGTATCCCTAACCGATGTGAGACTGATCTAAAATTATCGTCTTTCATGTGCACTTTTTCCTTTTCAAATTGTGTCCTTCTTAGTTTAGTTTTTTTTGTTCCTATTTTAGTTTTATTTAAATAACTTTATGTTCTTTTTCACTTCTTGCTTGCCTTATCAAATTTTAATTTATTTTATTTTTCTTCTTTTCACAGTGGTTGCCTGGAAGAGAATGCTCGAAAGCGATAAGGCCACCAGTTGCCCTCGTTTTCATTTAATTATGTCAATTGTATTATGTTTATGCAACGAAGTATTAATAAATAAATAAATAAAATAATTGACATTTGCATGCCGATTTGACATCACTGATTGTGTAGTGCTCTCTAATTGATGCATGTTATGTATCCATTGCTAGCTAATATATAATGAAATTTGCTAATCGCAATTTGCAGCAATTAATTTGTAAATTGTATGCTAGGCAGTGTATCAAAATTTACTGTGTTTAAAGAAATAGTTTCGGACCTCTAAACTTAAAACAAACCAATTATGGCTCTGCGTACAACAAAGGTTTTATATAAGTTTCACTTCTTACGTGTGTACACCTAGTACACGCACACATTTTTTTATACGTTAACTATCAGTTAGAATATTCTTACGTCGCGGGTTCGAACTTCACAAATCGATTTATCAGTTTATTGTCGGCAATTAAGACAACTCGTCGCAACCGACAACCGACATTTTTGACCCAAAACTTTACGACCTCTATCTGAGTAAACTCATACAAATATCAGCCAATGCCATCGTGCTACGATGAATGGTAATAAATTTAAATATATGGCATATAGAAAAAAGTTTCTTAGTAGCGAAAAACGCCCAATTCTTTTCGCGTGTTGCAACTCTTGTGGGTATGTTGTACTTTATCAATCATTTATCTTCACGGCGTTGTGATGTCCTATAGTTTCCGTGGAAATGCATACGAATAGAATATAATGAATATTTAAAAAAAATATCGGAAAAATATTTTAGACGCAAAACGTGCTCTAGTACCTGTGTAGAGAATTATTATATTAACTAGCAGTGTAGGAAATGGTGTACAAAGTTATGTGTTATTCACATAGTATGGGGACAGCTGTAGCTGTTTCGTCTTTTGTTTTCATCCTTGTTCCCGTAGTTATACTTTAAGGTCATATTTAAACGTAAGCTAGTATCATTCTTATACAATTTGCGCTAGAGGGCACGGTTCCAAACTGTCACGTCTGGCGTAATATTTCGCTTACTGACTTTATAACATACACTCCGTCACGTGTATATTTTTACCACAAAGTCGATTGTTAATTGTCTTCAAGTCGTGGGTTTTGTAAAAAGGTTTTTCATATGGCTTATGGAATACGTTTTAAAATTAACGTAACGTGAGAAGTATCACTTCTCCTAACATTCATTTTATAAGGCCTTTTTAGGAAATATCAAAAAGGTTAGTCGACATCACAGGAGACCGAAGAGCTCGGACAAAGAATTCAAAGTTATTCAAAAGGGGAACGCTGCCAGTATCTTCGGAACCTGGCCTAAACGGACTCCTTTTAATATTATATTTTAAGGTTTGTTACTGTTCTTCTTTTTTGTGCATTTGTGTGTTGGAAATATATGGAATGATTCCTTTTATGTTTTAAAATTTTAATATAAAAATACTTTTAAGAATTTTTGAGTATAAATATTAGTGTAACAGACATAGGGAAGATCCCTAAATCTGGAGTGCGAAGTTGGGAATTATAATTATTATCATTGTTCCACAGTGAGGACGCTTCGGACTTGAACGCCAACGGATTAGAGGATTTTGATTTAAATGCTAATCGCCCGACCTCTGTAACATTATATATATTTTTGCTTTAAAAGCTTTCAGTTTTTACAAAGTTTATATCTTTATTGTACATTTGTTAAATCCAAACGAAATTGGTGTCTTAAATTTTGATTTCAAACAATAATTTGGAAGATAATTTGTTGTTTAAATTTATAAATATATGTAATATATACCTTCAAGTTTAATTGGATACCAATAGTCCAGTATATACACAGGTCTTGAGATCGATTTCCGGTGAAATAAATTTCAATTATGATTCCTTTAAAGGGGCAGTATAAATTATAATGTTATATTTCCCCTTCTTATTTACAAGTAAGATAAATTAACAACAATTGTAATTCAAATAATATTCTAAAACTACACAATGTTTCAGTGATATCAAGATATAAATTATAGCTGTTACCATTGTTCACCAACAAACCGAAAAAGGTAAAAATAATCTCCCAAAACACTCGTTATATCATTCATTCACCGAATGAAAACAAAACTCATTCGTCCGTGACACGCATTAATCTTGCGACCGGATTAGGGTCTGCAATCTCCTTCACTGAGCAGAGATCAGTTGTCATTAATACTTGGCTGTCACACCTTGACAGATCGGGCGCTTAGACTGAGACGTGATGCTGAGAAAGCTTTTCGTTCATCATTCATATTTTTAATTGAATTGGCAAAGAAAACAAAATAAACATACTATTTTTAATTATTACTAAAAATATAGTATCGTATACAATAATAGTGGTGGTTATTTTTTAATCTCCATGTATGAGTTCTTTCTCTGATCTTGACTATTTAGGAGTTAATTGATTTAACTTTATTGACTGCGGAGTTGACAGTCCATAAAGTTATTTAATTCGGTATACTTTTCAGAATAATCATGCTCGCTTAAATGCTTGTGGCGGTGTTCATGCGTCGGGTTGTCTCTCTCCCTAAAATATGGCGAGGTGACCGATGGCTAGCCATGCGTCATACTCGTGAACGGGTGCTACTTGTGGTGATCGGTCGTACTTGAATTCGTGTATGCGGTGATGCTAGTTGTTTCAACTAGGTATTTGCGTGTTGTTTCCACGAGAATGTAAGTGCGTGCTCCTATTTGACCATGCCTCCTGCTGATAGAGGACAAATCTTTAATTTATTTTATTATTATTTATTATAAAGGAAGTCATGTGGAACATGTTGTACAAACGTTGTGTAAAACAATAAACTTGGCGATTAAAAAAGAGTGGCGGAGAGTTTATTGCCAGTTCTTCTCTTCCGTTCTACGCCCTTGATTTGAGAACTGGCAGTAAATGTAAAATTAGAATCATTTAATGTTTAGTTCTTTTCTGACGTTCATAAGTGTACATTGTGTTACCTACATGAATAAATGATTTTTGTCTTTGACTTTAACTATAATAAATTTAATACTTAGGTATTATTGAAAAGTTGATCCAAATCTACATATTAAACTTATGTTAATTTATTGTTATGAATTTTTTATTTTTGGCATTTACAAGATTTTAAAATCATAACTTAAATCTTACCTTAGTCCTGCAATATCAGATACTGGTATTCCATCTTCAGTGAGCCAGGTGATTGTAGGTGGAGGGTTTCCATGAGCTGCGCAAGAGACCCTCGCACCCGTACTGTTAGAGAAGGACAGACGTGGTGGTGGCTCCATCAGAAAGATCAGTTGACTCATACTCCGAACTGAAACGAAAGTAAGTTATGTAAGTGATTTTGTTGACAGCGATACTAAGTTCGTTAGAGATTAACACGTGTCTTATGTTCTGAATGTGAACAAATAAATAAGCATAAGAATAAATAACTCTGCATTATCAGTTATCATGTTCTTAACACCAAAACAGACATGAGTGTACCCATTTACCCAGTAATGTATCCAACTTTGTCTTGGGTATGGTAAAATAAATGTTGTAAGAGAATACTATGCAAACGTGAGTACGTAGCCACAGGAGTTAAATTTATCTTGGTTATCACGATGAATCCAATGGGTTATTGACAAGTCCGAATTGTGAGATTTCTCGCAAGAACTTAGGAAAGTACAGCCTTGCGATTCTGTAACTCACTTTTCATTTCATTTTATGATTTGGCATTCTAATAAGGAGGGAGCTTGTAATGTATTGTTTATCAGAATGCCAAATACATAATAAAATGACTGCTTCACGACTGATTTGAGCGCGACTGCCGTTGCGAAAACCGCTGTGAGAGTTCGAAAAGTGAGTTACAGAATCGCACGGCTGGTGACCTATATACGAATTTATATGGAAATGATCATATGATCGTGAGCTAATCTTTAAAAATTCCCATAAAATTATATATTATCTATTATAGTTGCGCCTCAAAACTTTCAGGACCGATATATTCAGTAGGGCTAGGATATCTGCATACAGCTGTAATTAATTAACTTTTCAGTGAGATAAAATTACATTAATTCAATGCTTTCTCACGCTTCATTTGTGAGTTTTGAGGGTATTGACTCGTTACTAAGTGGTATAAAGCGCGCGGAACTATTGAAGCAAATTATCTCGTCAACAACAATTTCACAGGTGAGTTGTTTCGCGAATTGGAACCTTGTTCAAAGGAAACCTCAATTAGGCCTCTGATCACGAGCGCTATCTACTGGCTATACGAGATGTAGGAATTAATCGTATACTTTTGTGTTTTCTATTTACATATCAGACATTTAGAATAAAATACGCGTTAATTAGTCAAATTATTTTGGAAGTAGTTTCCGTGAACTACTTGAAGATTCCGATACTGGAAGAATGTTTTAATATTTTACTATACTTGTGTTCACGCATTCCTCGTCCTCTTGTTTTCATGGTAACACTTAAGCAATCATGTTGTATGATTTAAGGTAATCGTCAGGAGAGTCAAGGCAAAAGACATCTTTTTTTGTATAGTAGGAGTCAAACGACCGGAGGCTCACCTGATGGTAAGTGATACCACTGCCCTTGGACATTCACATTGCCAGAAAGCTCGCAAGTGCTTTAAAGAATTGGTACGTTCTTTTCTTGAAGGACCTTTAAGTCGAATTGGTTCGGAAATACTTCAACGGACAGCTGATTCCACATAGTGGTCGTCGAGGTGATGCTGATGGTATTTTGTATTCTGCATTGACGTCCGATAATGTCCGAATAACTCCTAACTTGTATACGGTCAAGCGGAAGGAGCTGGTACTGGGGAGCTCCCGCCCAGAGGTCATCAAAATAATAACGAACCAATCTTTTCAGAACAAAGAATAAATGTATTGTCAAATTAATCCTTGTACTCCTGTATTAATTGTCACGTTAACCATACCCATACTAATATTCAAATTAAAATCAAATTATACAATTAACATACTATTCCTATTATACTTTAAAATTCATTTATCAGTCGTAAAATTACCGCAATATTAAGTCAAGCGAGTCGTAACTCAAAGTCCTTAAATCGCCAGCCAACAAATTGGAATGAAATTAAAATATTTCAAAGCGAAGCATCCTTTGTGAGAGTCGCTATTATGAAAATACCTTGAGGTCGGCATCCCGCCCGACATAATATGCTTGGTATTGTGACCTGACTTCTGACCGACGCGGGCTTTGATATCGCAAACTTTCTCAACGACTAACTATTGTTTTTAAAACAGTGCCCCCGATCCTGACATTATTGTATGCAATGTATATATGAGTATATGCTACCTATTTACTATAGGTAATATGTATTAAAATGTTCAGTTTGGGTCATAAGGCGTGCTACACTGTAATATGAATTTAATAATTGCCTAGCTTTAAAACCTTTCAATAACCGACGGCAATTGTAGGTAGACTAAGAAAAAGTTAAATGCAGTCCTAACAATAGCGCTGAAGTTTTGAGAATACGCTGAACAAAAATTTAATATTGAATTTCAGCAGCTTTATAATTTAAGCTACCAGCACTGTAACACTTTTAATAAAATTAAAATAGAATATAATATTTTTTTAATAAAGATAAACAGATTTCTTCGACGTTCAGCTGTTTTACCACAAAGAACGGTTTGGTGATATACACATTTTCTATTAACAATCAGTATTAAGTCATAAGTAAGATAAAGTCGTAAGAATAAGGGAAGTGTTAATATAGGAATAATATTAATAATTAGCCTTATATAAATACTTTATTTAATAATAAAGTTTACAGTACATAGTACACACAAAAAATAATAAAATTATTGGCGTATAATTTATGGTGTAATAATAAATAAAATAAAAATAGCCTTTATTAGAGTACACTATAACTACAGTAAGTCCATGTCTTTTAAGTTTTACACTAGTACTCGACCTCCGACGGAGTGAAAGCCTCCTCCAGATTCTTCCATTTGTCCATATTTGTTGCGACAATTTTCCAGTTTTTCCCCGCTATCCCTTTTATTTCATCTTCCCAAGTTTTTGGTGGGTATCCTCTCTTTCTGCTTCCCACTGGGCTCTTCCAAGTAAGGGTCTTTTTGACCCATCAGCCTTGCGATTCTGTAACTCACTTTTCGAACTCTCACAGCGGTTTTCGCAGCGGCGGTCGCGCTCAAATCAGTCGTGAAGCAGTCAACTTACGATTTGGCATTCTGATAAGGAGGGAACTTGTAGTTTGTTGTACACTGCGAAAACCGCTGTGAGAGTTCGAAAAGTGAGTTACAGAATCGCAAGGCTGCCATCACAAATGCGGCCAATGTGACCGGCCCATTCCCATTTGAGCCTTTTTGTATATACTACATCTTTTATTTTTTGTACGGCTTCGTATCACCTTGTTTTTACTTTGTCTTTTAATTTCAATTGAAGAATCGAGCGCTCCATAGCCCTTTGGCATACTCAAATCGTCTGTATTAATGTTTGTGCGTACTAAATAATAAATTCAACAATGGCAGATATGGATTCAATTGGAAAGAACGTCTAACCAAGCGTAACGATAAAGCAAAAATGTGAAATAAAAGGTGATCGGCCGTGGCAATACGCTACCCTCAACTTTAATAAAAAAGTATTTATAAAACATCTGTATTAATTCTAACGCTCATAAACCACGACCCACCAGTGTCTATTAAAATTAGTCGTATAGTTTACGATGTTATTTTTATAGCGGAGATGGCAGTAAATTGAAGTAAGCCTTGAGTAAGCCTGCGAGCGCGTAATTCCGTTTTATTAACTCCCGCCATCATGCGCGATATTACGCCGCAGCGTCGTGAAGTAGAGATAACCGCTTAATTATTATATTGGTTCTCACCGAGTGTCAATACAACATTATAAATACAGAGTTTGCTTACTGATTAAAAACCAGACAGATCACGGATTTGCACTAATGACATCTATGCTCTATATTAAACTAGCAGACCGGCCAAGCGTTGCTGTGGCTAAGGTTTTTGTTATATTACATAGTAGTAAACTATTCAAGAGAAACGGTAGGAGAACTTATGTGAAAGGTTGCTTATGTGAAACGTTGGTACTTTTAACACAGCGCCATCTGTTAGAATTGTATCAAATAATAAACAAATATTTGCAATAAAATAATATTGCGGGTATAAATTGAGATGTAAGCTACACACGGTGTGCAAATTTGATTGATATCGGTTCGGTAGTTTAGGAGTCCATCGCGAACAAACAACGTGACACGTAATTTATATATATTAAGATAATACTAGCGAGACGTACTTAACTTTATTTATTTATTTAATTATAAGTAATCTTACAGCTAACATACATATTATTAAACAAAACACTTAGACAATACAGCCATCCAAAACAGATTACATAGATAAACAATATAATATACGAAACAAAACAAATAAGTACATTAATAGACAAAACTATATAAAGAAAACTGAAATTTAACATTTAAAACAACAAATTATACTTAATATTTCAAATTACTGCTTAAAAAAAATCAGTAAGTTTAAAAAAATTAAGAAACCGGCATATCTTAGACCGTACTATCAAGGACGCCCGGCACAAAAAGCCTACCTCTATATAATTAAGAATTATCCTACTTTTATATTTATTAATATTAATTCTAATCTACCGCATTTACTACGGAGAGTGTTCAGAGGAGTTGTCGTGCAGCTGAGTTTCGTTATCGTACGTCGAGGCAGAATTCGAAATTCCATCCGTATCACATCGACATTCCACAACTAAGCGTTTTTTCAGGCAGTTTTATCCGCGCACTACATTGTACATACCCATGTATTTTAGAACCAATTTGACTACGGGTCCTTCAAGGAAAGAGCGTACCAATTCCTAAAAGGCCGGCTACGCACTTGCGAACCCTCTAGCTATGTAAGTGACTATGGGTGTTATGGGTGGCAGAATCACTTTACACCAGATGAGGCTCCTGCACATCAAAAAGTCGCATATAATGTGTCTGCCCTATTTTGTTACATATTGAACTCTTTAAGGTATTCTTTCAAAATGTTATCTATTCATGTTGATGTATTGGACAAATATGTAAGTACATCAAAGGTATTAGAAACTATATATCAATGACTTTTATTGGAAGCCCTGAGGTTTCAATTCAAAGTGAAGTTTAAAAGGAATTCCCTATTTTATTCCCTTTAACGAGTGATACATGCTGTTAGCAGCGTTCAGAAGTCAAGTGTTACGCTCCAATGCGTTTGCCTACGTGCTTCAGAGAGGAACGTCTGTTGTCGAGTTATTTCATCATTTTTAATACAATATATTTTGT